TAAAGATGGAAAGTTCTGTAATGAAATGGCGTCAATAGTACACAGGAAGTGTTACAAGGGAAGAGGAGGCCTAAGCCTGCGGTTTGTGGCTCGGAGAGGAGAAGGGAGCCACACACTTCAATGACCGGGGGAATTCATAGATTCTGTGGCCAATACTAAGTGGATGGGTTTAATACCTTTTTCTAGTTTGCCTGGGGTGAAATGAGGTCATTCCGCTCGAAGTCAGCATCGTGGTTGGTCCATCTGTCGCCCCAAACACTTGGCAGCAGTGTCCCGGGCCTTTCGGTGCATCTGTACCTAAGTGCGCCCTTTCAAGCAACTTGACCTGGAACACAACCGGCGGTGCCGAATTGGTAATGTCGTGTTGCGGGCCGCACGAAGGGAAAGATACAGGAAAGTCCGAGACCCGTGCTCAGTCAGTGCTGGTGACGCAGATCAGACGAACCACCCGCCGGACCTCGAGCAGAGCTGACTGTCAAATCGCCACAGCCCGAGAGAGATTTCTACCTACAAACACAAAACAGGATGAAGAACAATTGAACCTCAACGTGAATTAAAGCTCTTTTATCTAAATCAAATTGAGTGTCTTTTTTTTTTTTTTTGAAAAATCAAAGGCAACGGCTTTACTAAAATTATGGTAAAAACAAAAGGGAATTATGACAATGTTAATTATCAGAATAACCTAGTCTCCCTTCGGAGGAGAGTTTTAGAGTCGCAGGAAGAGCACAGGAGGAAGCAAGCTGCAGTGGCGTGTTTGGGCCACTTCCTCCTAGTGGTCAATCTGGCTGACAGAGACCTTGATTTAAATTGCATTCAAACTGGTTTAACTACAATTCAAATCAAGCATATGCATAGATGTTAAGTAACTTCTAGAAAGTAAGGATACAGTTGTCACAACGTATCGAATCAAAATTACTAAAAATAATTTGAAAAAGGAAATATAGAAATAAAGCCATAAAACCATTCCCGACAGGAACGGAGACTTCCTTCAAATTAATTTGAAATTTGTTTGTTTCAAACCAAATTTGAATAAGTGTAGGAAATTGAAGGTTGGCATTATATTTGATTAGTCATCAGAAACTGCTAATACCTACTTTTGAATTTTAAATTCAAACGTGGTTTGAACTAAATTCAAAATAAATGTACACAGTCAGTAGTGAATTCATGTTATTAAAACTGGAACTTGCACATGCATTGAAAGTTAGAAACACAATTTCAGGAATTCACTGGAACAATCTGAAATGGTGCTGAGAGAAAATTATTTAGGAAAGGATGACCTTGTTACCATTGTCCACACGATGGCGACATCTCGCTCATGGAGGGTAAAGTCAGGACGTGGAGGCCGTCTGATACTGGGAAACTCAAGGGCGCGCCCTAGCGTTTGGCAGTAGCATTGCAACCCGCCTGCTTTCCCATGTGACTGTCTCAGAGGACGTGCAAAGAATTACACGCCTCAATTGCTGCATCAATCCGAAATAGTGCGGAATTTAAATATCGACGGATTTCTTTCCGGTTCTATATTTCACAAAACGGCGTGGCAGGATTTTTCCTACACACACACATAGGGACAACAGGAATTACACGTCTGTCGTTCGGATACAAATACATTTATCAAATAGCATTTTATGATTTACAATGTTTTTTTAGGTTTTGGATTTTTTCCGATGCTATATTTCACACAAGTGTGTGGCAGGATTTCTTGGCTGCACTACACGTAAATTGTGGACAACAGGAATTAGGCATCTGTTTTTCGGATCCAAATAACATTTATCAAATAGCATATATGATGAAAAATGCTTTCAGTGTTGGATTTTTTTTTCTCGGTGCTATGTTTTACAAGCACATCTAGCAGGATTCGTCGCTGCGTTGTGCGAGAGAAAACAGGAATTATTCATCTGTTTTCAACTCCAAGCATATATCAAATAGCACTTGTGATAATATGCTTTTCGGTTTTTTACAATTGAGTAGCTAAGTCAATGTTTTAACCAGGAGTTTTTATCGTTAATCTAACGATTATAAAATAAGGCCTTTTTAAGAATAGTGAAAGAGCATCGATTCACTAAATCTTGTCTTCACCCTGACAGAAGAACATCGTTCGGACAGGGGAGTTTAACATTAAAAATGTCGTCGTTCAAAAGAGGTTTCTTCGTCTTTTGTGGGACAAATTTAATACTATGAACTGCAGTTTACTTTTAGTTATTAACAATGGCAAACGGAATGTCAGACATTATTTTGCAGCGGTGAGTTCGCATTGCGTTCGCTCACTCGAGGCGCACGTACAATATTAAATCACAATATAGACATAGATTGAAAACTGATTTTGCTCATAAAACAAGTTTAAAATGTGCCTAGCATTTTCTCCACCATTTTATGTAAGGATTCAGGGCGGATCTAATCCGTGGGGAATTTGCATAAATTAATTAATAATTGGTAATTAATAATTATTCATACATGTTTGGATTAGATCAATCTTACATTGAATTTACTCTCCCTCTAGGGGAGGATCTATCATTTTACCTGCATGCACACGTGTATCCTTGCATTTTAACTACAAGTTGATTGCATAGATCACGTTTTACAGACAGGTAAAATTTAATTAGCTCAATTGTCAGGATAATATTTGTGGGATCCACAATATCATCTTACTTTATAGGATGTCAGGAAACGCAATTCTCTGGCCAGAAGAATTGGGTTTCCCGCCCATCAACACATAACGTTAACGTTACTCTTTAAAGTATCTGTAATTCGTAAAGCTTGTAGCATTTAGACCTTTGGCACTTAAGTGACTTGAAATTGAGCAAAGAAACAGCACATCAATCTAATGAATATATAATTATTTTAATAGAGGCATGACTACTTATGTATTTACTACGGTTACATGGGATATATGTATTTACAAACACATAGACAACAATGAACAATACAATAAGACATCAGTGAACGAGAAATGCATAAAGTTTGGACAATGGATAACGTACACGCGTGAGCGAGTAAGAGAGAGAGGAAAGGGGATGGGGAGAGAGAGAACAGAGAAATTGGGAGAATTTCATTGGCAGGAAGACATTCACCTCTCTGATAACAACACGAAAACACATTCTTAATGCTCTGAAAACAGGGTAACCCAAATTTACTTGCATGTGGAAGGGTTCTCTCATGTGTTGCTGCGTTCCTTGAGCGGCCTGCATGTTGAACGAAGGTCCTGTCCTGCTTGCGCGCGTCGTGTGGAGCGCGGCTGCAGCGTTTTTGCACGGCCCGTCCCGGCGCGTGCATGGTTGGCCGCTTGCGCGTGGCGCCTTTGTTCCATGGGGGATCACGTGGCGTTCGTTGGCATTCGGCGCGAGTGTTTGAAAGGCTTAACGTCTTTGAGGTGACGTTACCCGAGGAAATAGTTCGGCAGAGTTCGTTTCACTTCGTAGAACGGAGGAATCACGAGGAGTTAATGTTCCATTTGTGCATGGCTGGCGAAGGAGCGCGTGCTTCGCTCGGTCCGGCGCGTCACGCGGTCACGTGCGCGTGTTTCTCCTTCAAAGCGAGCGCGCGCTCGTTTAAAAGTCCCTTGTAGATGGATTTGCTGAAGAGATATGTCACGGGTTTTCTTTCCAATCGTCGATTGGAATTAAACACAGAGACTTATCTACAACTGAAAAACACAAACTAAACTAGAAACAAATAAAAGAAAGGCGAAGAACTCGCCCGGAGGCGAGACGTTACATCATGACACGAGAACACGGGAGGAAGAGAGCGAGCGAAGGGGAGAGGCGTCATTTATCACTTTCGGAGAAATCCATCCTCTTCCTGTTGGCTTGGCCAATTAGAGGGTTGGAAGTTTACAGGCGGGGCTTTGGGTTTATGATCCTTTGTCTTCAGAGAGAGACATCTGAAACCCTAATCTCGTCGGTTGTTTAAGAGAAGAATCTTCACAATTCTTATAATACTAATGTGTCACAAAGTTCAGCAAAATGTAATGTCAATTAACAAATGGGGAACGAAGATTGGAGTTTATCGAGACCAAACTTGCCACAAATGGATTTGGTTAAACATTAGTTGGCAAAGTTTGAAACATTATTCAATTAAGACTTGTCGAGAAACATAGACCAAACCACCGAAAGGCAACTCATGAAATAGGGAACTTAGATACATCGTTCATACAATTCTCAAGTGGATATATAATAGCATATATATATGAATACAGGATTCATTTCTCCTCCTTGGTTAGAATTCAGAGAGAGAGAGAGAGAGAGACACTTCTCTGACATTCCTGGTGCGGTCGTAAATGCTGTTATCTAAGGCCCCAGGCTCTGACAGTATGTTAAGTTTTGGTTCTTACTGTCCCCAAAAGCTGGTGCACATAGAATCATAACTTTTACTGTAATTTCTTGTATCTGATTAATTCCGCTGGATCATGAGAATTAAAACAAGACCAAGAACAGTATAACAATACTGGGAATAGACAGTTAAATGTAAAAATGCATAATGATAAAATCACAGTTATTCCAATGTGACATGGGCAAATGGACACACATAAAAACACATCAAATATATCTGGTTGAATGTCTTTTAAAGAAAAGAAGTTCCTTTGGGACATTACAAAAATGTCATAAAGTGTCTTAATGTCTTGTAAGCGGACACCACGCTCTGTCCTGAGTGTGGGTGTCAGCTGTGGGGGAGGTGTGTGTGTGTGTGTGTTTGTGTGTGTTTTTTCAAGTTCCAGGCCTTTTGGGGCTAAAGGCTTTGGGATTTTAGCACGAAGGTATTTAGTTATTCAGATTCACCCTGGCCCAGTCCTTACAGTTGCTAGAGGTCAGAGGAGAATGGGCTGACTGAGGGCGTTTTGGGGGTGGAGCAATGAAGGGAGGGGTTTGTTTGTTTGGGTTGATTTCCAATATCAAGTGCTCAACGATGATTCTCAGAAATCGCTTACTGCACCTTTAATGTCCCGAACTTGCTATGAAAACACAAATATGACAAGCAAGACATGATTTAAAGCAACTTTATTTGTACACAACTTTGTTCTGCAAAATAAGTAATCAAATAACCCTTAACTAACTCAATTGACTGAAAAAAAGCATTTAAAAATAAATTCAAAATAGCATTGTCTCAGATACTGAAACATTTTCTTGTTCTCATCTCTTCAGTGCTCTGCGAGGATCCCGTCCATTAGTTATGGTGGCAATGGGTTTTGGGCCCTGACCTCTACCTGGTACTGAAGAAGCAGTGCCACTCTTCCAATGGTTGCGGTTCAAATGACGCCCACCTTTACCAAAGGACGTCTCTCGGGGGACAGGTGAAAACACAGCAGAGCCGTTGGCTGGGAGGGGCAGAGAGAAAGGTACAGATTTCAGCTTATTCTGACCAAGAATCACATATTTATACAGAGAGAGCCATCTGACTGACATGTTAAATAAGCAACCACAGCTTGTTTTGTTTCTATCCATTTAATTGTTAAAGGTACACTATGCAACTTTTTTTAGTTATAAATTTACAACATTTATATAATGAGCAAGTACATCATGAATCCATCTTCCAAAACATGTTTTTGTCTTATCCCGAATCGCTATGGTACACCTATTCTAAGTGTTTATATTCAGACTATTTGAGACCGACTGGGAACCAAAAGTTAGTGTACCTTTAAGGGAACAAATGAAAATAAGAAATATGATTCCAGCTTGATTTTGAGCTATTTTAGCTTATTTTAAATAATTTTAAAGGCCCCAATATTCTTCAAGAGAAATCAAAGAATGAAAAGGTGTGATGTCATTTCGAAACAAATTTTCGAAACTTGTTCGAAATGATTTTTGTATCAAGTTTGTTTCTAAAGTTTGAAACAGCTCGCGAAATCAATCTTTTTGGAAAAGTTCAGTACGACTGGTAAACCCATTCAAACTACCATTGTTCCATGCCGAGTACATAATATTTAGGTGTAGATCTGAGGCTCCGCCTTCTTTGACGTGGAATTCTGGAACGTGGAAGACGTGATGTGAGACGTGGAAGACGTGATGAATTAAATATGATTATTTTCAACAAATACTGCCTTTGTCAAACAATCGTTCAAGGTTCTAAAGTGTCAACCTGCGGGTACAGCTGGTCCGGGATTCGGTATACTAGGAGCGCTGCCATAAGCTTCTGTTTTAACCTGTTAAGAGAGAAAACAGACACTTATTCTGTGCTCATCTGACTGTTCATGCCCTCTGAGCTGTATTTTTGCACTCACTTGGGTGTTGTTTATTTGGTTGATTTTAGCCAGAACCTCTGGGTTGGGCTCACTGAAATTTGGCACCTCCGAGAATATCATACAGAACCTTTGATAGATGCAAGAAGGTACTTATTGCAATCATCATTGTTTCAGAGAACTTAAGTTCAATAAAAGTGTGAAGACCCACTCTCCGATCTTCTGGAGGTCCCCTGTTCTCCCAATATACAGTGTAAGACATCCTTTGAACAGAGATGCGTATCTGAAATCAAATGTGATTTTCTTTAACACGATGAAAATGAACAAACCAAATCTTTCTAAGAGGCTTTATTAAGATTCGAAGCATTACTATTATTATTAACAGCCTAATAAACTTTACTCCCACCCTCGATTGAGTCGGATGATGTCACCGGTTTGTATCAAGCTGCCCACCTCGTCCCACACTGATATGGTGATACTTCCGGTCCTGTCAGCTACTTTACATGAACGCACTTCGTGTCCGTCCTTTGTCTTAGACACTCGACCTGGTATATTTTGTTAAAGAAGCACAAACAAGGAACACACTGAAATGTAAGGCAATTGGCGAAGGCAAATTAGCTTTCCAACTAATTTTCATGATTTTTTTTTTTTTTTTCAGTTTCTTTTAAAAAATATGTAATCTTTTCTTCCCTATTGTGATGTAGGGTAGGTTATATCCGAGTGAAACGAAAGGAAAAAGGGGTCAGGACTTGATTTTGTCCATTGAGAACTGATTGGATCGTTGTGGTTTGCTATTGCAGTGATCTCATGTGAGTGACAGGTTGTCCCGCCCTCGCGCCAGTAAAAACTTCATCAGAAAAGAAAAGAGATGTCACTGCAAGAAGGAGGGGAAGTTATTTTGATCAAAGATTACGAGGGCACATGAATTAAAAACATAACGTTCACGGATGAATCATTTGTAATTGTGCAGTATTCTAGCCTGGGAAAACCCAGACAACTTCCGGCAAATTTAGATTTGCTCTGAAAGTTAGTCTGGCAAAGAGCTCATTCAAGCTCATTTCCAATCCGCCGAAATCGAGGCACCAATCAGAAACGTTGGGGCGGGCTTTACACGATGACGACAGCGCTGGGATTTTGAAGCAGATTTTGTAGCCTACATTACAAAGATGGATGCCGCCGTCGATCATCACTCGTTTGAATCAGCTATCAGCTGTTTTAAGCGATTTGAACCTTTCCCTTTTGTTAAACATCGAGCAAAGAACAACACTCGGAGATGTTTCTGCCTCTCTGCATCATCTCCTTCATCGCTCTGATTGGTTTTAGGTCTATCCGCGACGTCCGTTGGTGACGCCCCTCTGGAAATTATTTGTCTATGACGCTTTGCCAAATAGGCTTTATGCACAGCTTCACTACTTCCTGAACTTCAGCCAGCCCTTTGTTTCCTGTCTGTCATTATTGGACAAACTGATTAATCCAGGTGTGCCTGATTATTGTTACTGAGGCCAGGCACACCTGGATTAATCAGTTTGTCCAATAATGACAGACAGGAAACAAAGGGCTGGCTGAAGTTCAGGAAGTAACTGAGAATGGTCTGGTTTTAACCAGGCTAGCAGGATTCCATTAAAAAATAAGAATGTCAAATTTGGTTTCATGGTGACTTTAAACAACACTGAAATTCATTAATTTAAACACAACTCTGTAACTGTGCCTGAAATAGCTCACCCCTTCACACATTTCATAAATTCATACCTACTAATCCCAATAGTGCATGCAGCTGAGTGGACAATATCAGCAAGGAGTGAGCTAATTCGATGCTGATGTAGGCCTATTCTCTGTGATTTTCTGAGTCGAGAACATTACGGGTTGATTCAGTCCAATTCGTGAACGATTTTATCAGTGGCGGTTCTAGCCCATTTCAACTGGGGGGGCCAAGCTGGGGCCAGTTGTACTGTTAGAGGGGCCAGTTACATTTAGACCTTATTGTTGTCATATCATTTTCTGCACTGCTGCAGGCATTAACAGGCAAAATACCGTGTTTATAATCATTCAACAATGTATTTGCATTTCCATTATATTTTTACATTTGCATTACATATTCAGTATTAGTCACAGTAACTGTAATAGACATGATGTCCTTTTTTCTCTTCATTTTGAGAACTATAGAGCAAAAGCAATGGGGACCAAGAAGCTTATTAATTCATTTACTGAAAATAACTGACTTGATATGTCTAACCGTTTACACTTTACAGGGTTCCTGCACACTTTTTAAAGTCAAATTTAAGGCTTTTTAAGACCTAAAGAAATCAAAATTAATACCGTAGGGGTGTGCAATATTGACAAAAATATATTTCAATATTTTCAACATTTTGTTAATAATTAGATAATATTTTACTGATTGTGTTTTTGTGCTGGTGCCATGGCTGGTTTAGGCCTGTTGTTGACAGCTGAATCACGAAGATATTAATATTTTTCATATTCTATGCAGTAGTCAGTTCACAGCAGTGACAGAAATACATTTTTTAATTAAGAGGCAATATTTGCCGCCTTAAATTGATTTCCAGGGGCATTTTCACCTATATATGGACATTTTTTCTAAACTTATTTAGAGTTATGCATCACCTTTTATGTCAAATACTAACATTCAAATTATACAGTAATTATACTTATTTATACAATAATACTTAATTATGCAATAATTATACAGTACCACTGTTACCAGTCAAATTAATTAATTCAATCAAAATCCATCTTTGCAGTGCAGAGGTGACACAGAAGTGGCATTAATATATTTACACTCCATTTACAATTGCATAAATAAAGCTATGAGATTTTTTTTAAATCAATATTTAAAAATAAAATTATTTCTAATTTTAACGTTTTAATTAAAGGATACTTTAAATATGAAACTAAAACCGCCAGTAGGCGGCGGCAAGTCCCTGTAAGAGGGATTCATTCATTCAAACGAATTGTTCAAACGGCTGATTTATTCGGGAAAGCAGCAAGTGATTCGTTAAAAACGCGGATTTCAGTCAATAAATCATCGCTGTGTTGCATTGAGACTCACTACTACGGTTTCATTATGAAATTCTAGTCGGCGAAATAAAGGGAAAACAAACAATATTGACAATATTGTGTCTAAAAAGTAACTCCCAATGTTAACTTATTGTTAATTTAACTGTTGTATAACATAAATATCACAGTTGCAATTGTGCACGGGAAAACGGCACTCTTGCTGATGTGATATTCTAATATAAGAACATAATATGATATAAATATAAGACAAAAACTAATTTGGGGACATAGCCTACCTATGAACTGCACACAGCAGTGAAAGGACGATAGACAAATGCTATGTCAGCTCACAGTGCCTCGTACATAGTTAAAACAATGATTACAATATCATAATAGACAATACACATCGCACACGCCATACGCACATAAAGAATGAACTTACAACTGAACTGACATTTACCAACTTTCTTCTTCTCTCCTCTCTCGCGTGCAGGAGACAGGCGTTATTCTGCCGCGATTCCCGCGAATGTGATGCGAATTGTCACGTGAAAATGCAAATCCACAAAGATAGAAAAAAAAAAAATAATACGCATACGATAGCAAAAAACAGTTTTGTAAAAATTATTTCAAACTCCACATTTAGGGGGGCCACAAGGGGGGCCAAGCTTTTTGTCACAGGGGCCCCCCTGGCCCCCCCTCTAGAACCGCCACTGGATTTTATTCAGAACGCCATTGTGACTCAGCTCAAACGACTCACAGAAAAGATCCAACTCAAAAGATTCGTTCACGGATTCACTACTGAAAACAATGTTGACTAATATATCTTTTTATAGAAGTCAGCATGGACTTCAAGAATTGTAAGACATTATACTAATCTTATTTGAATTTATAGGCTACATCAAACTGTGTGTGAGCACAGAAACATTTAAAAAATGAGGACAGCAGCAACGCAATCGTAGCCTACAGGCCGCGTTTGGTCGTTAAAAAGCAAACGTTTCCCACTTAAATATGACTTACCAGTTTCCAGGACGATGAAAACCAAATTAATATTTTTTAATCCAGGTTTAAGGTCTTTAATCAGACACACACTTTCGTTCAACGGGTTTGCCATTATAAAACAAGGGGGGGAAAGCTAAAGGAAATCCAATTCAGTCAAACTGCCAGCCACCTTGGATCACCTAACGTTAAGATGACTGATGCCAGGTATTTATATAAGCTACCTGAATGAGATCAGATTTTAACGAATGTTGCACATAACATCCCCCTTTAAAACTGCATAAGAACAATTCAGCCTTATTAACAAGTTAACTAAGGAAGGAAAGGGGAAAAAAAGTGCTAAATTGTTTACGTTAATTTTCCTGTAAGAACGCAAATGATTAAACATGTTCACAAATCAGTTTATTCGTGCGTTTTGTGTGATTTGAAATTGTTTGAAAAGTAGCACGGAATCAAGTTCTCGTGGAATAAAAACTAAATATCGTCACGAACAGGATTCGAACCTGTGCGGGGAAACCCCATTGGATTTCGAGTCCAACGCCTTAACCTCTCGGCCACCGTGACTGTGTATAGTGTATAAGTGAAAAACGGCTATCTACTAAAGGTATCATACCGTGACTTTATTGAGCAGGTTAAGCTTTTTTATTTGACTGAATTAATAAATAGATCATGTAAACGGTGCTTTTTTATCTTATAATAATATAGTGATATATAAGCATTCATTTCGCTTGTTTCGTTTTCTGCTGTTTTAATTGAGTCATCATAACGCCAGATGGCGCTAGTGCACAAGGAGTTTTTCAAGTGTCATAGAGGGCGCGTTTTCAATTTGAGCACTCTTCACGTTGAAACGAAAGGAATTACAAAATTGTACATAAGCCAGGCCTTGACATACAATTAGTTCATATGAATGTTCATATGAATGTTCAGGAACAGATAGTTCAAATGCCATACAGTACAGCTCTGACAAGAAAGGTATAAATCAACAATTCACTTGTTACCATGGCACTGCAGGTAAGAATATTTTTTTATTACTGATATCTTTGTAACCCCACATACACTGCCTGGCCAAAAAACTAAAAAGCAAATGCTTAAGAGTCTATCATTAGAATATTATTGATTATTATGTTTCTAGCATATTATATGTTTGGCAACAGTTCTTCTAACCCTAATTGATGGAGTGTGTAGGATACGCAACATATAAACATAATAATCACTGTAATAATCACTTGGCCAGCCAATCCTACTTCAATATGGCCTATTACGCATCTAATATGAATGTGTAGCCTAATGTTTAAGGTATTCAAAGTCTAGGTTTAAGTCTGTTTCTGTCATACGGATTAGGCTACTAAAGGAATAAAACAGGACTTTGAAAGCATAGGCTACTAAAGATTCAACGGGACAAGATAGACACGAAAACGCATGTTTCAAAGTTTTTATTTATTTGCATTATAAGAACAATTTGAGCAGAGCGTGAAACAACGTGGTAAACAGGTGTTACAGAAACAAGTTCTCTGCTGTAACTGAGCCATTCTCTTTGGCGTGAATCATAATGTTTCTAAAATATAACCAAGACAACATATAGCTCTCGTATATATTATGAAGTCATTGATGCAATTAACATCTTAAAGAATATGCAAATACAGATTAGGGATTACAAGAATCAGAAAAAATTAGTTAAAATCTGTTATGTTTTAAAGAAGTAAAACCTCATCCCTTTTCATCTGAAAGAGACATCACCCGAAGCAAAGATACACACTTTTATGTTTTTGTTCAGCACTGGAATACTGAAATGAAAATATGCTGGAAATAAACACACAAAAAAATCCCACTTGCTCTGACTTATAATAAAAACATATGAGAACCAAACTCTATTCTCATTCTCACAATATCAACAATATCAAACCAGACTTGATTGGTCAGTGCTGCTCCTCATGCTTTTCTTTATCCGCTGACAGCACTATTTTATTTATGGATTTGTATAATAGCGAGTGGTGATGTGTGCACAAATATCAGTTAACTGCATTTATTCCAAAGTGATGAGGGGGATTTTTGAATTTGCCCTTGTGTTATTCAGTTCTCACATTTTGAAACTTCAGTACATCAATCCAAACAGACTTTCACTTTTCATACTTTTGCAGTTCTCCACCACTTTCCACACTTCTCTGGCTTATTTGCATGCATCGTCTCCTTCATCACTTTCAGACGTATGCCTGTAATCTAGACTGGCTTCACAGCGCCTGTTTCTCAGCCAGCACAATGCCAACGGGATCTTGAGAAATGGTCTCTGAAAAGAGCCGTACATCAAAAGCAGGAATGCTTTCTGAATAAAGGTCTGAGACATGTGTGGAGCTAAGGGAAGACCAGGATCCCCCATGTAAGCTGCATTCCAGATTTGAAGTGTGTGTGAGCATGGCGTGTGATCATTAAGGACAGAAAAAAGTTATCTAAATGTTTATTAGTCACTACGAAACAGAAATCTAGATATCAGAAATTATTTGTAGTTTAGTTTAGGACAATACACTAGCTTTCTCACATCTTTTGGTCTCTATGTTTATGGGTTCACAGTACACTTAAAATTTAATATTGAGTACACTTTTTTTGATAAATACAGGGATAGAACATGGCAGTATATTTGTGCTGTTTAATCTCTAAAACAAAACTATGGGAGCTTGTTTCCGCTACAGAATCAAATGATTTAAAAGATAATTGCGACTTTTTATCTAGCAATTCTGACTTTTTTTCACAGAATTGCGAGATATAAACTCGCAATTGTGTGTTATAAAGTCAGAATTGCGACTTAATATGCAATTCTGACTTTATAACTCGCAATTGCGAGTGTATATCACGCAATCCTGAGAAAAAAAGGTCAGAAGTGCAAGATGTAAACTCAAAATTGTGAGAAAAAAAGGCAGATTTAAAAAGTAAAATGACTGTTTTTATGTTTTATTCTGTGGTGCAAACAAGCTTCCATACAAAACCTAATTGGACCAAGGTTGAAAATTATCTTGGTTGCATGAAGTCAATATCACTTTCAGCTGTGCACAGGCTGTTCCAGAAGAAATGAATTGTGGGATTGTGGGATGAAAACCAGGCTATGGTCAATACGTGTCCATCGAATAGATGGACTGCACTTGGCGTCCGTTGACTCCTTTGGCTGTAAGCGATTTGTTTTCCTTCGCCAACTTTCTCAGCTGACAGGTAGTCACCAGAGGAAGACAGAATGTTCAGTAATACCAGCTGGAGTGGGTTTCTCACAAGCGTAAGTTTTGTAACAGAGTTTTGGATAAGACGAACTGATATGACTGCTTTCACATTCACTTCTGCTAAAAGACTAGGGACTAACAACAGCGATATGGGATTTTTAAGCAAATGTCATATAGTTCATGAATTTTGCCTTTGAATGGACTGTATTGTAAGTCTGTTTTCTGCAAGGACAGGCCAGATGTCTGGGTTCTTGATGGGGATGGCTGGCACTGATAAGGGAGAGAGTGTTTTCTCAGCTTAGGAGGGTGTCCTAGGGCTGGAATGGAGGGTCAGGACATTAGGATGCTTGTCCTACAGCAACACCCTCTGCTAGAGGGCTGTCTTCACTCTGCACTCTTTCCTTTCCCTTTTCTTCCTCTCCTTCCTCTTCATCCTCTTCCTGTAAAGCACTGTGGGACACCACTATCTTGGAGGCGTCCTGGGGCAGGGTCGCAGAGAGAGCATACTCCTCACTTACATCTTCTGTGATCGACAGCTCAACCTCAGCTGTGCCATTCAGGATGCTGGGCACCTCATCTTTCTCCATTGCCTCCACAGCTGCCTTTACTTCCTCCTGTCCTGGTGCAAGATGGGAGTGAACCTCTTTGAAGGACAGGTCTTCAGTTGGGCTCTCAATAGGGGCCAGTTCGATGGAGGCAATAGCACTTGGCGAGCTCTCTGGTTGAGCTGAGTCCTCAGTCTCCGGTTCCCCTTCCCCACTGCGGTTCTTCTTGATGTTGAAGGTTAGAGGAGAGACCTTGAAAGAGGTGTTCTTTGCACTAGGGCTCTTCTGGTGGTTCGGTGTCAGACTTTTCTTGATTTTATCACGCTTCTCTTGGGACACAATCTTGTTCATCTTCTTCTCAATGTTCTGCCTGGAGAAAGCCTTCTTCAGGCTGTCCACTTTCTTCAGACTGGAACGCTTGATCTTCTCAGCTCGAGATTTTTCAACTCTGGTTTCAGCTTCGAGATCCAAAACCCTCAAAATGTCATCCTCATCCTCTTCTGGTCCCTGCTCCTCATCCGAGGAGAGAGCGATGGTCTGAAGGCCCTCCTCTTGAGAACGGTTGGTATCAATGGCCGGGGTTTCCTCTTCCAGTTCAGGTAACGGTGCAGGTTCATTCACAAAGACACTTGAAGGGATTTCATTTTCCTCCTGCACAAAAAAAAAGAAGAAAAAAAAAGAATAAATTATACAGTTCTGCCCATTTACAGCGTTATTTTCACACCACATATGATTGCTCTTAATACACAGTTCTGCCAAGTTTAATGCTATAAAAAGTTTTGATTGCTAAAGCCATATTATTGTAATACGGTTTCCCCACAGAGGAATCCAAGTCAGTGCCGAATTAGCTGCCTGCAAGATTTGTATTTGGTTCCTTGGCAACATGACTCTAAGAATGCTTATGATACAGCTGTCATGTGTTCAATAGTTTCTACATAACATCATTCTCTATTAATGCCTTTAAGAAAGTCTTAAGATAATCAATCTTAAGACTTAATTTTAGGTCTTCTTTTTAATCAGGATTTTAGACCAGGGTAAAAAGCTTTATGGTAAAGTCTGTAGCTTAGTAGCAAATTAAATTAATCTGACAAATGAATTCAAATAAACATAAAACTCCGAAAATCTGTGTATTGGCCAGATCAAAATCACTGTGAAAAAAACTCTTCTTAAAATGTACAACAGGACAGCCTTTCCGGACAAACAATTCCAGGGGTTTGTCTGTGGCTTTACAGCAGCCATTATGAAGGGGTTTGAAACAGTTGAACACACTTTTTGCTCTTAAAAGTATATTGCCAAAGAAATGTTCTTCATCAACACACCGTGACCTTTTATCACAGTTTCAAGAATTTGTCTTTTAAGCTCATTCTGCTCAGCTTGTAATATGAAGTACTATATGGAGTGTTGATGTGTAGTGTGGATATACATTCCTTTAAATAACACAAGGGGACAAGAACATTTGGTGTGAAAAACATTGTGTACTACAAACCCTCTTTTCCCTGCTGGAGACAATCATAAAGGCTGAAGAATAGCGAGACGATTGGGAAGGAAGGCCAGGCATGACCCTACACAGCTCTTATCAGAGTTTCCACTGAGTTTTGGAGGACAGCCAGTACAGAAAGAGAGCGAGAGTTGGGCAATTGGAAAGAGAGAGAGAGAGAGAACAGAAAGCAGGGAAGTCTGGTGTAGAGCTTTTGGAAGGGAGTATAGGATGAGAGTCAGGAAGCATTTGGGGTGGAGTGCAGCAATGGGGACACCTGGACAGAAGCCCTGTTTGCCCCCCACCCATCAGAATGTTCCATGGCATGTCAGAAATTCGAAGGAGAGCCTGAGAGCCTCGCTCTCTTAGCGATAAGACTCTAAATTCTGATACGGATGAGGTCACGTCGTCACACAGGAAACCTCCCAGTTAATCAATTTAACTGCACTGTTTTCGTTCAGTCTGAAATGTAAGCACACACAAATGTGCTGCATTTGTACAAATGTACTGTGAATGCAGATATCTCCTGTTTTTGGGCATACAGTACATGTACAGTACATGCTTTAAAGGGTCATGAAACAGTAAACTACATTTTTTAACAAGATTTTAACAGAAGGATGTGTTGCACATCATAGAAGAGAATGTTACCATCGACTAGTTTTAAATGTAGGAGATAACTGTTTCATTGGAAGCTGTTTGAATCAGACGCTGTTGTTGTGTTTTCAGTCTGCCCTCTTCCCCCTCCACTCTCAGCATACCACACCCACTTTTGGTGCATTTTTCAAAACTGTGGTGAGAACTAACAGGTGCTAAAACGGTGTTTCATTTACCCTTTAAAGGGTAGTTTATGCTGGAATCAGGTGTGTGCCTTTTTCCTATGTAAACATACTAGACTGCTGCTTATTTCTCAGTAGAAATGGCATAAGTTAATTGACATTTATTTAAATGATCAGTATGTCTCTCATTTGCTCCATCAGGCTCTATTTTATTCTTTCTGTGAACCCCCAAACCACACAGAAGTGAGGTATCATGCAGCAAAGGATATATCTAAACTCTCTTGAAAAGGCGAAGAGATGAAGGAATCTTAAGTTGACAGAATGTTACGCAAACATTGAATTCGAACCTGCCTTGATTCCTCTTATCTGTTTATACTGCCTGCATAGAGCCTTAATGTTCACATCTGCTTTTCTAACATGATAGAAAGGTTGTGTTGCCCTCTGAACCCCCTGTTGTAACTCTGGCCTCTGAAGCTCTCTGTGTGTGAGGGAATGCGAGTATGGCCTGTCAAAGTAGAGGGAGAGATTTGACCTAACAGAAGAGAACTAACAAGAAGGATACATAATGACTGACGGTAATCCCTGTGGATATATGCAACATGCTAAATCAGGGGTGAAATACCGCTTTTGGGATTTAGTAGATCTGTCCACCCACGAAAGAGCTTTACTTTGGAAGGCAAATATGGATCAAAGGTATTGGTATGATATTGCTGGCACAGTTTGAGAATGAATTTGGCGGAGTCCCTGCGATTTTTAAAATGGAATTTCCATGTTCCATCAGTCTCTCCTTGGAGTTACCACAGCAATTAGTAAACTTGGATTCTTGGAGTTAAAAACATAGTAGAAAACAGTGTGACATAACATTGGCTGAAATCTTATATGTGAAAGCAAAGGGTTGGATGTTTTGCATTGATTTTTCCTGACAGTTTCTTTGTTAAAGTATTAGTCTATTTCTGTTGTGATAGGGCTGTAAGAGGTGGTTTTCGGTGAGGAGTAGCTAGTTTTAGGAGTAACTAGTAGCATGTGTTTAAAAATAAGCATCAAGAAAAAGTTGAAGAGATGCCAAATGATAAGATTTTGTGAATCAGAAAGAAGAATCACAAGGGAAATTAAATGCTTCACTTTAGAATTTTAGAAGGGGAACTTGTGAACAAAATGAGCTGTAAAAAATAAAAGAACAGATATACTGTACACAGTCTTGTATAACAGTAATAATGCCTGTGATATTTGGCATGCAATATTTTCTTTTAAGCTCCAACCGATCATGAATTAGATAATAATGAATGCAATTTATTTATAGCACCAAGTTAAAATTGTAACCACAATAAACATGTTTTCTTCCTTCAGGGTCATACTTACAAATATTAGTATTACACTGTATCATTTTTACTCAAACTATGAGCTTTTACTACATTAAGAAACCTGAAAACTAGGATCATTAGAATTGTGGCATTGTGAAAGTTATTGTGAACATTGTTATAATAGAATTCTTTTGAATTTAAACGTACATAAAGGCAGCACAACAAGCAATATAATATCCTATAATTCATTAATAAAATATCTTTAGATAAATTAGATAGAATTAGATCAAATATCTTTAAAATACAATAATGAGACTGAGACTGTTTTGCGTAATCATTTCATGGTTCATTTCATGTCCAATGAAATATGTCACTGGATGCAAAACATCTTTATTGAAATATTTTCCCTTTTTTTTTTTTTTTTTTACTAATATAGAGATTGACCCTTCAAGTCCAAGTCTTTTTTAGTAAAGCTTAGATTTTATTGCACAATTTACTCAAAACTCTGAGAAGTCAATGCTGTGTATTGAGTTTCTGTGCTTTCAACATTGCTCTTTGTTTGTATTTGCATGTTTTCAAGTACTGTCCTCAAGACTCTAAGTGGCAATCCGTATAGCTCAAATTGCTAATTTGGGAAAGAAAATGGACTGAGCCACTGGACTAGCCTGTGTGGCAAGAAGAGTGTCTATCAACAGCCACTAAACTTTGTAGTCTTAACTGTAGATGGTCTCTGAGAATGAGAGTAGAGTGTTGACATTTTGATATGTGTCTGAGAGCAGCTTGCGTAATTGTGCTGTTTTATGTGGACAGTTTCTCTTGACTTAACCAGGTTGACCAGGTTCAGGCTTGTCTCCGGAACCACTGTATTTGAAATCACTTTAGATGAACTGCTTATGCTGATGGCAAAAACACAAACAAAGTAACAAACGCCCCTCAAATTAAGTATTAAATACTATAGAGCTGTTATAAACATGTTAAAAAATCCCTCCTTATGGCCTCCAGAGACACAAGTTCCTGTTGTTTTCTCAGTGGGGAACCAAACAGTTCATTCCATGCATTCTGCCTTGTAGGTATGAGATCTGGAAATGACTTGTAAATGACTACAGCCTCCTCTACATCTACATTCTGGTTGTCATATTCTGGTTGTGTTTTAGGATTCTCTAAAAAAATGTTGTCACTAAAGAGCATGATTACCTCATGCTGCGCAGCCTGTCAAATGATACTCTAGGTTTGATTTATTTTCGTACTAAACCGGTTCCTCTCGCCTTGGGCAATGTAGGCGCTTATGATAGCTGAGTTGATATATGTTTTCTCATATATGCACAATAATATAAGGGGATCTCACAAGGGGTACATTTCTGTTACAGTTTATGGTTATTAAAGGAATCAATTTTTAGAGAGCATGTTTTGGTAAACATTGTGAGCATGAGTCATTGCATACAATGCATGCTTTGTGCCTGTTCTCTTTGTGCAAGAATAGACTGGGTTTTATTTGATGTTTATTTGACAAGATGTGGTTCTAATAGACGCATAAATGCCTGCATTACTCTTTGCCTGCTATTACTCAAGTTTCTCGCAGATAGTTCAAACCATAAATGTAAACTACATTAACTCATCCTCATGTTGTTCCAAGCAACAAAAAGCTTTAAAAGACTATCTTGCCCTTTCTTTTCAATATAAGTATCAACCACTTTTTACGGTACTTTTATACTTGAAAACTCATGAATTAGGCTAACTTATTCAAAATGTCCTTTTTTAATTTCTGTAATGATCCCAGACTATGTTCCCCTGGTTTTGTGTGGACTTTTATGTTATTTCCTGTTCTGTACATGTTTTGTAGTCCTTTGTAGTTTTTCTTGTTGATTAGTTATTTTATTGTCCCATAGGTGTGTCTTGTTTGCCAATGTGTATTTAAACCCCAGTGTTTCTTGTGTTCCTTGTTGAGTCTTGTCCTTACATGGATGTTTTGTTGGGGTGCTCATTCTGTTTTCCTGGTTTTCTAGTTCCCATGTTTGTTTTGTTATTTATATACTGTTTATCAAAGTACTTATGGGACTCAAGCTCCGGTGGCGGTGGAGCCTGGCCCACCATGGGTCC